GGCGGGCGCGGTGTGCGCTGGGTATAGACTGTGTGCGTCAGTGTGAGCGGTAGTTCACCTTGTGTCTGTCTTGACGTCGGTGGTTCCCAACCGGAGGCGCCTTTGTACCCCAAGGGGACGGTGGGCAGTGCGTGTGGACATTTTCGGTTGTGACCTCACTGAGGCTGCTACCGGCATCTAGGAGGTAGACACCGTGGGTGCTGCCAGACGTCCTGTAATGCTCAGGACGTCCCCACAACAGTCACCGGACCCAGAAACGTCAATAGTGATGGGACTGAGAAACCCCGCTGGAGGTAGACTGTTGAAAAAATTATAAAATTAATATTTATGGTAGATGAAAATTGATGAAGAGCAGCAAAAAATAACCTTTTAAGTGGGTAGTAAAAAAATATCCCGTTTTTTAGAAGAGGTCAGCAAATTCAAATAAAAAATTTAAAAGTATTAAAAAGTGTATTTAATGGGATTTAAGTTCCTATTAATAGCTTAAATAGCTAAATAATACGCATATAGATTTTCAACTAAATACAATATACATTATTTTTTCCTGAATTTTTATTAATCAACAAAAGTATCTACTTATTTTTTAAGCTAGCGGGCAGTGGTGAAAGCTAAAGAAAAGGGAGTTTGAAAACTAAGCAGAACACTTCTATTGTATGATATAAAAATCTTCTCCTGTAACCAATCATATTTCAAAACATTAAGTTTTACGACTCCCTTCTACAGTAATATTTAAAACTGAAAATGAGGAAAATTTCAGTTACTGAGTCAGACCGAATCCCTTTGCTTTCACTCAGATGGCGGTGTCCAGGGTGGGGCGAAAGCGCGTTTACAGCTGTTCATGTGAAAACTCAGGCAGTTACTAATCAATACTGTAGGAATACGCTCGGTTTTCCCACTCTCAGCTACAGCTGTAAACCTGCTTTCGCCCCACCCCGTATCCATCCCAGCGACGTCAGTTGCTTTCTTAACTGTACGTACTTGAATTTATGACTTGGCTCTGAAAATGTGAATCACTTTTTTCACACTCGCGTTAATATTCATCTGATGAATTACGTTGGTGAGTCGTGAAAACAGGAGGGAAGGAAGTAGGAGGCATGGAAATAAGGGACTAAAATGGGGAATGTTATTAGGTGAAAACTGCAAGCAGATTTTATTCCAAGTTTTGCTCAGTAAGCCTGAGTTTGTTTGTGTTTAGACATTCACATGATGTCAAAATACGCATATCGACAGAGTTGTGGTATAGGAATTGCCATCAGGGGTTCCGTTTCTAAAGTGTGCTCTTTCGCTGTGTATTTTATTTTTGATAATGATGTGTTAACCGGGCAAGCGGCGGGTGAGCGAGTGCAAGTGACAGATGGTCCTCGCTTGTGATTTGGACCCCGATGTAATGTGTCTTTTAGACAGTTTTAGCGCCATGCCTGGTGATTAAGCTGAACCAGATGCTAATGGATGCAGAAAGGCCTGTGAGATTGTAGTATAAATGATGTCCATGGATATCCACTTTCATTATTTAATCATATTTGCTGCAAGTTGCATATATTGTGCTCTGATAGCTCAGGTAACCTGCTTACTTCTCACGTATTTTCATTTTAAATTTGCATCTGTGTTCGAGTGAAGATCAGTAGAGTAATGGTTAGTCGCCATAGTCCGTTTCCAATGTACATCTGCTTCATTAGGCCCCAAAATGCCAGCCATGTTTCAGAATAATAGGCAGCTTGCTTCCGTAATTGATTAAATTGGTGCTGTGTGTAATTGAAATATAGTTTCATCTATTGTACTGGTTCAGTCCCAGTAAATGCCTGCACTGTTTTTCATGAAGAGCGGCGTGGTCGCTTGGACCGCGGCTGCTTCTATCACTGAAATCCTAAGGGCTGGCCTGAATCTGCTGTTTTCTCTCTTATCCTGAGATGTCGCTCAGCCATTCTCTCGCCATTTTTATAGGGAATTCTGTTTGTCAGGTTATTCGAGTAAATGTATTTCTCTTCAGTTAGCTGGCAGATGTTTGGAACGATAGTCATATGAACCAGTGCTAAGATTTATATACTATATGAGAACAAAAAGTCATGAATTAGAGTAAATAACAAGAAAGCGAACGTTTCTAATGAAAATGGGATGGTTGAGTTCAGAGTCACAAGGTAATCTGAGATTTTAAAATTGTACCTTTTGTTACTTTTTTAGGATGAATAAAAATAACATGAGTATCTATGTTCTTTTTATGTTACCTTATAGTATATGTAATTTGCTCTAAAGGAATTAACATCTGCGGAATGGAAGTGACTACAGTGTGTTTTATGTAGGGAAGTATAGTAGTTTATAAATAAATATTTGGTGGGTGACACTTACAGTATTGCAGAGGATGAGCATTGTTTTAACTGTTTTTATATGTGGGGTAGTTATAACTAAATTTCAACTTTTAACTTTACTGACTGGAAAGAAATATTTATCTCCCTTATATGAGAAAGCCTGAGGCAAGCATTTATACCTATAGAGAGGGGAAAAAAACCAACCCCCCCCCCAAAAAACCTGAAGTGCCCAGGATGTAGCATTAAGTTCTTCATGAATTTTTCTCAAAGATGAGTCCCAGGAAGAACTGAACCCAAAATTTTAGTATCTGATTTTCACGAGGGCAGTTTTTTTTGTTGTTGTTTTTCAAATCCTCACCTGCGGATATTATTTCCATAACTTTTCAGAGAGAGGGGGAGGGAGGGAGAGAGGAACATCGATGTGAGAGAGACACATCGACTGGTTGCTTCCCACACGCACCCCAGCCGGGGCCTGGGATCGAGCCCGCAGCCGAGGCACGTGCCCTTGGCCAGAATCGAACCCAAGACCCTTCAGTCCGCAGGCCGAAGCTCTAACCACTGACCAAGCCGAGGGCCGTTTTCTCGTAGATACCGGTAATATGTGAACTACCGGACCTTGGTGTCTGTGGGGAACTGCCGCTGAAGTTCCTATGTTGCCTGTTTTCTTTTTTTTTTAACCTTTTAGTGCTGGAATTGGTTGAAATATGATTACACTCTATAGTAGGATTGATCGAAATGTAACTTTTGCAGGTTGTTTGCAGCCTGGATAAAGGCAGTGTGCGACAAATATTGGAGAAACATCAGTGAACCCCAACCAGTATTGAATGTCTGTGGAAGTAGAATTAGTTTCAGTTATTGAGAAAATAATTTATCTCTTTAAATTCTATTGGATTCTGATAAAGCATCTCTTAAATTTTTACTACTTATCATTTCTACTTCATTCCCAGGGATCCGCATGTTAGTTTTATCATCACTAGATTTATTTCATGGGATCCTTAAGAGAATGGCTTTGTGCATGGGCCTTATTAATTGAATTGGAAGCCTGTTACCAGAATCAGTGGAAAATGTTTTCATTAGAAGGTTTCTGTTTCAAATTGTGTAATTTGCATATTTTTTCTAATAAGCACACATTCCAATTCCAAGAGCTGTAGTTTAACTAACTAACTAACTAAAGAGAGATTCTGATTCAGTAGAACTGGATTTGGGGTTAGCAATTTGTATTTTAAAAGTCACCAGGTAACTTATATACACTGAGGTTTAAGAGTCACTGCTGCACAAAGGTGAAAAGTAATGTTTTATCTTTTAACTTTCTAGTCTGTGAGAAACTACACCAAATGCCATGTGAGAAATGAGCAGATTTGTAACAAACTGACCAGCTGTAAAAGCTGTTCCCTAAACTTGAACTGCCAGTGGGACCAGAGACAACAGGAGTGCCAGGCTTTACCAGGTGAAGACTTCAGTTTGGTAAATGAGTTTTATGGTCCACAGATGAGTAACGTCAGAGTAAAGAGCTTTTAGTAAGAACATTCCATTTGCTAAAATTAAATCGATAGTAATTAATAGTAATATTGGAGTAATAATAGTATTGTTTCTACAAGAATAATTGTATGTTTGCTTCCAATTCTCTTAAGGTTTCTTGTATTTTTTTATCCTATTGACTTGATCAGAATCTTCTTCCAATTAAAAAAAATGGTATCTTAACATAGAAAATAATATGCACTCCTATTGATAACATTTAAACATATTTGGTTCATATTTTAAGTGCCATATACATTCTGGGAACTATTTTCTACTGACTTTTTTCTATTATAAATTGTAACATTTATAACAAATGTGTGATTTAATGAGAATCTACGCTGTGAAAATGAGAGCAAAGCTCATTTTAAAAAGCAATTTCAATTTATTTTTTATAGTTAACACTCTTCTTAGTAGACCCTAACTACTCTTTTTTTTTTAAATATCAAAAGAGAAAATCAGAAAATGAAAAAGTAATATAGATATTTAACCAGTTTCATCTTCTTGTTGTAAAGATAAATTGAGACCCTCACTCTGGTTAAGTTACTTGCTCAGAGTTGCATGGCTTGTAATGGCAGAAATAACTATCAACTGGGTGTTCAGTATTGGTTTAATTGTTTGCCTTTCCCTAGCCCATGCTTTTTGTTTATTTTTTCATAAAAAATTTCTGAACCTATGCAATTCTAAAATGTATTGGAAAATGTCATCCCACGATTCTTGCCTTTCTTACTAGTCCATGTAATTGAATAAAAATTAGATTGCCTTTAAAAGTACCATTGAGATTTTGGAATGTATGTTTATTCAAATTTTGAATTTTGTTTTACATACTGACCTTTAGAGCTTTTACATAGTGATATATTATGTGTGTTCACTTTGAGAAAATTAGAGACTAGGAATGCAGTAGGCAGGATTTGAGAAGCAGTAGTGAGCTGACACTAAACTTGAGAGTAATATTGATTTCTAGGTGTTAAACTCTAAAATCGACATACAGATCAGTAAAAATACTTACAAAGTCTCTTTCAAAAGACAGAGTAAATCCTTGGCCAAAATGATATTTGACTGAAAGGAATGTGTGTACAGAAAGGAAGATTGCTTCAATAAGAAAGGGATTTGGTTACCAGTGGGAGTTTTAAAAAATAATAGTAAAGTTATATTCGGTAGTCCCTACCGACTCATTGCCCAGGAAAAAACTTTGGTTTGGTACAAGGGCTTCACTTGACTAGGCTAAAATAATCATAAATACAATAAAATAAATACAAGGAAGCGTTTTATTATACACCAACCTCCCTTGTTTTATGTTCATATTTACTAAGCAATCAAGTGGGTATATATCGTGTGGTTTCCTTTCAGCTCATCTCAAGGAGGGCGATGCTCTCAGTGGAGGGGTGGCCCAGTCTATTGCAGTTGCACTTCTCCATGAAAATTTGTGAATTGCATTTTTAAAATTGATCTCATATAAACTTGGCAATTTGAATTTTTCTCACTAAACTTATTAGACAAATTAACTGCTATCCTTTTAACTCTAAAGTTGCGTTGAAGTTCAATAGTACAAAAGCCTAAAACATCAAAACATTAGGCTCAGTAGTGTAATTTAGTTTAGCTTCAAAGGCCCATGCATTGGTTTTCATTTGTGCAATTTGTCAACCAGGTATTTTTGGCCTCAGGAAAAAAAAATGGGGCAGGGGACTGGCCAAAAAATCGAAATCCCTCCTTGGTTCAGTAATGTTAGAAAAAGCCATAATTTAACAAAACTTTTGCACTGTTTCCTTAAAGTGATTTATTTGGTAGTTCAGATTCTAGAAGACAAAACGATTGCTATATATGTAGCCTGAAAATGAAAACAAAGCTGTTTTAAACAATTTCATAAAATAATAATTACAGTTTATTGAGGAGTTACTATGTTCCAGGCGCTGTGTCTTACTCATGGTACCCAATTTAATACAACAGCAGTTATTAAGGAAACAGAGTTTCCTGTTCATGGACCCTTTTAGTGCTTCCATGAGGTCAGAACTAATAATATGAAGATATTATTTGCATTTTTAATNAGTTTCCTGTTCATGGACCCTTTTAGTGGTTCCATGAGGTCAGAACTAATAATATGAAGATATTATTTGCATTTTTAATTCTCAGTCTGTTAGGAGTTTACTATGGAGTTTTCCAAAGGCTCTGTGATATGTGATTCCAATAGATTGAATGTAGAAGCACATATGAAAATACGGTTGTCTTATATTAAACCTCCATTAAAGAGATTTGCAAAAATGTAAAACAATACCACACTTTTCAATGTTCTGTTTTGGAGACTGTAATTAAAAAAATATTAAGTATGCTATTTATAATATTCCCCCCACCGAACATTTTATAGGGAAAATTTAAAATACATAGAAAAATGGAAACAATATTAGAGGGGACGCCAAACACCAACACCCTAGATTCTGCAGTTAACGTTTCTCTCTGCTTTAACCCTGATCTCTCTGTCTACCCACCCCTCTATTTATCAGTACATCTTAACTTTTTGATGCTGGGCCCCTAATCTGACCTGTCAGCTACTCTCTCTCAGGAAGAGAATTTGATAATACATCTATTTGAGGTCCAAATATGGCATAAAGGGGAAAGACATCCTAGAAGCTGGAATAGTGTATTTGTAATGAATTTAATGAATTAATTTCTTTTATTTTGTTTTTAAAAAATTTTTTTCAATTACAGTTTACAGTCAGTATTATTCTGTGTTAGTTTCATGTGTGCAGCATAGTGGTTAGGCAATCGTGTGCCATACAGAGTGGTCCCCCTGATATTTCAAGGGCCCACCTGGCCCGGTACGTAGTTATTAGTGTTATTGACTATATTCCTGTGCTATAATTCACATCCCTGTGACTGTTCTTTCTGTGACTACCCATTTGTATTTCTTAATCCCTTCACCTTTACACCCAGTCCCATAAACCCACTACTTTCTGTCCACCATCAGTCTGAATTTTATAATTTAAAATAAACAAATATATCTTTAAATGATCAGCTTTAATTTTTATATGGTCAAAACCAATAGACATAAAATGGGTAAAGAAGAGATCTGTGGAGTCCTTGAGAGTTCCAGGGGTCTTGAGCCAAAATATATGAGAACAGCTGCTTTAGAACAATTCCATAAAGGTTTCACTAATGCATCGAAGGCCTAAAGGGCTGGAGGCACCCATCTATTTAATGGGATATGGAAACTAACATCTCTTCAAACTTTATAGATCAGCGTGCTAATGAAACACTGCACTGTTAATTAGTACACACTAGTACATACCTTTATAATATAGTTATACATCTGTGTTTTAGAAATCGGTGCTGTTTTAAGTTCAATTAGAACTTTAAGGATTAACCACTGTTACTGAATAGTGTGTTTCAACTTTAGAAAGACCTGAATAACTGTGTAAAAAATGAATATTAAAAAGCAAAGATCATAGCTTCTTATCTAAGTATAACGAAATGAGAATTTTCTCCCCACAATGATAATTAAAGAACCAAACTTATATCAAAGTAGTACACCTGGACCGTGGAAATTAGATTTGGAAGACAATTAGCTACACATGTAGGAATAACACAAATTGCTTTTGTTATATGCTGGTTATTTTTTTGAATGATCTTGTATTATGTAAATTGGACTTTGGGATATAAATGTAGTAGTCATTTTACTTGTTGAGATACCATATGCCAAAACAACAGGTTTACAGAGGAAACCTAGCAAACAGTCAACACATTTTAATCAATGGTATAGAGCCATAGCTTATCATATGTTTAAAATTAAAGAAAAATTAGGATCTTCTGTTCTCATTCTCGACTAAACGATTAGACATATTTTGTTCAGTATATTATATTGATATATTTAAATATTTTAGTGTTAAGATTATTTAAACAAATACAGAAATGACATTTAGGATTCTGAAATAAATGAACAATACACATGCTTTCTGGTCACCTAAAAATAAGATGTAATTTGTTTTTTCTAGCTCACCTTTGTGGAGAAGGGTGGAATCATATTGGGGACGCTTGCCTCAGAATCAACTCCAGCAGAGAAAGCTATGACAACGCCAAACTTTACTGCTATAATCTCAGTGGCAACCTTGCTTCGTTAACCACCTCAAAAGAAGTAGAATTTGTTCTGGATGAAATACAAAAGTATACGCAGCAGGTAACAGCTATGCTGGGAATATGGGAATATGGGAATATGCTGGTAATACTGTAATTATTGGCAACAACTCAATCTTTTTGTAATTTAATACATATTTTTACTAAATCTTGGAAGTAAAAGTAGAACTGACTTCAAAAGTGCATTTAGTAATAAGGTTTTCTATGTTACTCATCTCATATTTTGCACAGTAAACCAATGCATTGTCTTAACGAAGAATTCATGTGACTAAATATACTGAAAAAATGGCATATAATTTAATAATTTGTTTTGATGTATTATTATTTTATAACTTGAAAAATCCCTCTTAATAAAACACTAGACCAACACATTGGCTACATTGGTACATATGTATATTGTGTGTGCGTGCACGTGTGTATTGTGAGTTATGTTTTTGAATTATGCTATTTTTCTAGATATAGACTTGCTTGAAATAACATACTAATGGTTAGTACGACTAAACCCTAATATTTAAAGTATATGGAAGATATATATAGCACTTGGAAACAGTTTCGGTTCTCTAGAGAGTTGTTTTATAGACAATATTTCCACACAAGATAGAATATTCCCTTGAGAATTTAATCAAAATACCATTTTATAAGAAATTTTCAAGAGGAATTGCTACTGTTTATTTTCTGTTCTTGGGGTGTTAAAATATACTCAATTCCTAAGAATATATTAAATAGGAGATTTGGAAATAATTTATCAAATCTACTTTTGAAATACCTTATTTCGTTCATGTACTTCTTGAAATGGTTTGAGGGCCTTCTAAAATTCGAGATCTAATTGACACATAACATTAGTTTCAGGTGTACAACGTGATGCTTCAGTGTCTGTGTATGTTGTGAAAATGACCACAGTAAGTCCAGTTAGTATCTCTCACTACACGTAGTCACGGATTTTTTTTTTCTTGTGACTAATTTTAAGATGCACTTTCTCAACAGCTTTCAGTGTGCAGTTGAGTATTATTGAGTGTAGTCAGCATGCTGCACGTGAGACCTCCCTGACTGCTTTCATAATTGGGGGTGTGCAGCTCTGCCCCCAGCCCCTGGCTTTGGCAACCACGCCTGTCTGTTCTCTGTATCTATGAGCTTCTTTCTTTTTTAAGATTCCACGTATAAATGAGATCCTGTGGTATTTGTCTTTCTCTGTCTAATTTCACTTTGAAATAATTTACTAAATCTGGTTTGTTTGAGAAATACCAGTGTTACGGCTGAAGTATAAGATGTATATGGCAGGAGGGATGCATGTCATGTAGGAGAGGCCTTTTGATTTTTTAACTTATTTTTTCTTCTGACACATTTTTACTTTCTTTTTCAAAGGTAACCTTTTAGAATTGTTTTTAGTTATTGATGAATACCTTCTCATATATTAAAATACCGTCTTTGCAGCCCCCCTCTTCTCAGACTGCACACTGGGCGATGGGCGCCCTTCACTCATGTTTCCAAGTATTTACATACATAAGTTGAAACAAAAATAAAGCTTTGTTTTGAGGAGTATTCTTTTACCTAAATGGTACAATGTAAATATCATTCTTTAGTTTCTTTTCTGTACTTAAAACATGGCTCTGGAAAGTTTTTCATTTTATTTTATTTTTTTAAATTTTATTTTTATTGACTCTATTGCAGATGCGCCCCTCCCCT